AATAAAATAAAATAAAATAAAATAAAATAATAAAATAAAATAAAATAAAAAAATAAAATAAAATAAAAAATAAAATATAAAATAAAATAATAAAATAATAAAATAAAATAAAATAAAATAATATAATAAAATAAAATAATAAAATAAAATAATAAAATAAATAAAATAAAATAAAAATAATAATAAAATAAAATAAAATAAAATAAAATAAAATTAAATTAAAATAAAATAAAATAAAATAAAATAATAAAATAAAATAAAATAAAATAAATAAAATAATAAAATAATAAAATAAAATAAAATAAAATAAAATAAATAAAATAATAAAATAAAATAAAATAAAATAAAATAAAAAGTTTCATTAACCAGGGTGACTTACATGTCTCAATATCAGCGGATGCCAACTTGCCTGTTGCTCCGAAATGAATTCGGATGAATTTACCCTAGGTAGAAATACGAATGTAAATAGGTAAAAGGCGTCTAGATTTGAATCAGATCTTCCATTCTGCTGGTAGTCCTTGACTTATAACCATTTGTTTAGCAACCGTTCAAAGATATGACGCTGAAAAAAGCGACTTACGTCTAGTCCTCGCACTTACGACCGTTGCAGCCTCTCTCACAGTCACATGATCAAAACTGGGATGCTTGCAACTGACTCGTATTTACGACAGTGGCTGAATTCCGGGGTCATGTGATCCCCATTTGCAACCTCCCAACAAGCAAAGCCGAGGGGAGAAGCTGGATTCGCTTAACGACCGTGCGATTCACTTAACAACCGGTGATTTGCTGGATTCAATTAACGACCATGTCACTAACTGCGGGGATTCACTTCACAACTGTGGGAAAGAGGTCGTAAAATCAGGCGTGACACCCTTAAAAATCACCTCGCTTAGCAACGGGAATTGTGATCCGAATAGCGGTCGTAAGTCGAGGACTAATTGCAAGGGTAATCCTCGACTTACGACCACAACCGAACCCACAACCAAACATTTCTGTTGCTAGGTGAGACTCTTGTTAAGTGAATCACTGCAGTTGTTAAGTTAGGGACACAGTCGTTAAGCGAGCCCTGCTTCCCCGTTGACTTTGGTCGCAAAAGGGGATCAGGTGACCCGGGAACGCTGCAACCGTCATAAATATGAGTCAGTTGCCCAGGGTCTGAATTTTGATCATGTGACCCCCAGGTAGCTGTAGCCGTTGTACGTGTGAAAAATGGTTGTTAAGTCACTTTTTTCAGGGCTGTTGTAACTTGTAACGGTCATTAAATGAACTGTCGTAAGTCGAGAACTACATGTATTATGGAATTGGCTGATGGCTTCTGTAAGATGGCAGCTCCTTCAAGGTCTACCTAACCTTGTGGAGTAGGAAGAGAAATGAGAGATCTTCCTCCTTAATGCCCTCCACCATGATTCTAGATCAGGGGTAGGCAACCTTGGCTCTTTTATGACTCGTGGACTTCAACTCCCAGAATTCCTGAGCCAGCCATGCTGAGGGGAAAGGGAGAGGTTTCCAAGCTGAGCCATGCTGGCTCAGGAATTCTGGGAGTTGAAGTCCACGAGTCATGAAGGGGCCAAAGTTGTCTACCCATTCTAGATGAACTTCTGGAGATCTTTTCTTACCCAAGTCCAACTTTAGATTTGGAACACTCACAAAACGGGAAGAATTGTCGTTCCTCAAAGTTTTGGCGTTGCCGAAGGCTTCCAAGGCAGGGTTGGCCTGGATGATTTGATCTTCCAAGGTCCCCTAAAGAGGAACCAAACAGACAAAAAAAAATCCATGTGAGAAGAAAGATAATTTGCTTTTTTCATCCCATCTCTCCATAGAAACGGTTCCTATTCATGAATGAGGCAGTAGAACAGTGTTCCTCAACCTTGACAACTTTAAGCTGGGTGGACTTCAACTCCCAGAATTCCTCTTTCCTGGCTGGGGAATTATGGGAATTGGAAGTCCACCCAGCTTAAAGCTGCCAAGGTTGAGACATACTGAAGTCGAAGATATAAGAAATATCACCAGAATATTGGAATAGTCAACCTAGCTTTTCCCGAATAAGTTGATGGAAACCAAGATGGATCTGTCATCAAATCCTTCTAGAAAGTTGGAGAAGGCTGGTGGCACAGAGAAGGGGACGTATGGGAAAGGACACTCAGTCCTGCCAGGATGTCAAAACCCAGATAAAACAAATCCCATTGTTGTGTCATTTGTGTGAGAACAACCTGAAACAAGGACCATTGTCATAACAAGAAGATCGAGGATGAACACAAGAGCCTGTCAGAATGACCACACATGGAAGGGATCGTTTGGGTTGATATCTGAAGGAGCTTTGGAAGTTCTCAAGTTTCCGGGTCCCATCTTTGTCCTTTCCAGATCAAAATGGTGGTGACTCTAGAAGCAAGTGTATGAATCAGAAGTGGTTCCTCCTTGGCTAAACAAAAGTTAAGTTGAAGATGTGCATCTGGGTTCCATCAAGAGTTCATAGGGTTTTCTGGCACTACACCACACTGTCTTCTTCTATGTCAATGTGACATTTGTCACACTGACAAATGGTAGAGCTTAGATCTTATTCTTCAGTTGATTTGAGAGGTTCTGGTGACATTGGTTAGCTTGCTGAACTTTTGGGTGGTGCCCATCCAAAATGTGGATCCAAAAGTAATTTCCATGCTAGAGACTCATCCCATCTTCTCACATCTATCTCCATTGTTTATATAAAGTTTGCCCTCCATGCTGTTATTTAGTAGAGCAATTGTTGGCTGATTCTAGAAGATGCCATTATCTATCAGAGGAAATCTGACTTTAGTTTTGGTTCTACCCTCCATTGCAGAAGACCACGGCTTGCTTTTCATTTAAGGAAGCAGAAGAAAAGGAGCACCGGGACCTTCTCAAGATGTTATCAGCTACATCCAAAACCCAAAGGAAGAAAACTCCAGGAACTTCTTCTCAAAGAGCATGCTATGAAAGAAGCTTCCCCAGGTTGATGTTCTCCAGCTTTCCCAGGTTGATGTTCTCTAGAAAACGCCAGGAACATCTTGTCAGGAACATGCTATGAAAGAAGCTTCTCCAGGTTGATGTTCTCCAGCTTCCCCAGGTTGACATTCTCCAGAAAACGCCAGGAACATCTTGTCAGGAACATGCTATGAAAGAA